TGATTTAAAATGTACACTGAAAACCATAGAAATGTAAGCGTATTTACATGTAAGAAAGGAAACATATGATTATTTATAATGGTGATAAAATATACTGCACCAGGTATGATATTCCATCCAAAAAACTAAGTTAAAAGAACATTTTTAAGGTTGCAAAGTGAAGCACTAAAAAAGTTAAGAAATGCTAGACCTAAGCTTGCCTGTGCAACCTTCATTTTGTACCCCCTGTATATATGCTTTAATCACTTGATTGCATACAATTTTTTCACCCTGCTCTGAGGAATTACACTAGCTGTGCCCTGAATGAGGCTCTAGCATATAGGACTTCATATCTATTGCATAAACTGGAAGGTATATTCACTCATCCCTCCCCTGAAATGCCTTAAATCTAGTTCTTGTCCCCCACTGCATTGAAGCTAGATTGCTTTGTATTCCAGGCAGCCTGAGTACCAGCAGGGAGACACTAAGAACATGAGAAACAGGCTCCCTACATTTATTTCTGGTACCTTTTTCCACCCCAGCTTGCAACAGCTATTATAAGGAAAACTGGTTTTGCCACACACTTGCTTGTTCTGTGGTGATGACGCAGTCACATTCCAGTCCCAGGCAGGAGGTGGGATGGGATGGAACATACTCCGTTGCTCTGTGGGACAGGCATACAGTCCAGTCAGTACTAACTAGGAGATGTGAGAGGCATGGTCAGTGAGGACAGACCCTTTAGAGATTTTACCTGTTAAGCTCCAACAAGCCTTTACTGAACATATATGAACTTGAATTTTTTAAAGGCTTATAAACTTGGATTTTCTCTTGGACAGCAAAAGGCAAATATTTGCTAAAATGGTTATATCCCTGCCAAATTTCAAAGCCCTACTCCAAAATATGCGAGAGCTTTCCAAACAAAAGATCACATCACTTTTTTTTCCACATAGAAAAAACAAGCTTTGTTCTTGGAAGTGCCTAAAGCTCCTTGGCTAAATTTTTCCCCCCAAAAATTGGTCTGAGGCAGATACTCAGTCTAGAAGATTTCAGCCTAACAAAGTTTGGCAAAGTTATAAGAAACTGAAAATAAGGAGTGCCTACATGCTGCCCTATGATGATGTAGCGATGCGCTATGTCACCATATGGTGTGCTACGGTGACGTAGCTATCATGTGCATCTACATATGAGCACCTGCTACATTGCTGTAGTGGCATGCTCTCCATTTATAGCACACCGCTATGGCGACATAGCAGCAAAATTTAACCATGTGCCAAATGCACAGTGCAGTAACTGCCTGTACTGCGCCATGCTTTAGTACTTCCAAACGGAAGTACTAAAGTATGGCACTGTAGTAACGTCACCATACAGCAATGTGTAAATGCATCCATAGTCTCATAATGGGATGTATCATGTCGAAGTAACATGACCAGTAGTTGATGCTGTCAGCTCCGTTTATAATACATTATTACAGACTTGTTGAAATTATATCAATTCGTTCTAGCTTACAGTAAAAAAACCCCCAAAACAAATAAAAAAACCTGATGTGAATCGCATGCCCCTAAGAGTTTGTTCTCATATATCCTTGGTTATAAATTATAATCTAATTCTCAGTCTCCAGTCACTTATTGAAGATACAGAAATTGATTCCGTTCATTTTTCCTACTAAAAAAGCTATGATGATTTTTGTTGTTTCAGGAGGTCAACTAATTCTATGAAAGTAAAAGAACTTTATAATGGAAATAGTTTAAAAGGGACATATCTTCAAAGTCAGAAAAAGCATAAGATTGGTTGTGTCAAGACAAATCATTCCATATACAGTATTCCAGTTCTGAACACTGATTTATCAAATGTTTAAAAAATATTTTAGGAGACAAGACACGTACTCAGACACCAATTTTGCACCTTCTACTTATGTCACATTCCTATTTGAGAGTTAAAGAGCTCTGTAGTAAGTTGAGGCCCTGACTGCTGTTGGTGAGTTATCACAGGTTTCAGTGATACGGTGGCTCATCATCCTAATGAGTCAGGATGTACCAAGAGAACGAAGAAATGGTATAGGATGGGGGGAACTGGGGGTCTTGGAATCCTGTTTGTGGCTTGTTTAGTGATTGTAAGTCACTCTGAGCTTTTTGGATAGGGAAGGATATAAATCTAATAAATAAACAAACAAATAACATTAGTCTGCTGGCAAGTAGACACTTAGCCAAAGCACTAGGGTGCAAGTGCCTGAGGGCTTGGGAGAAAGACTTCACAAATTTCTGCTCACTACTAGTCCTAAAATTGCTTATGTCAGATCTTCAAAGTCCTTGAGAGTTAGTTTATCTCCTTATCCAGTCAAATCCACAGGAATTTTGCATTTAACTTCCCCAGCCAGAGAAGGAATGGCACAGCCCAATGCTTTGGGAAATCCTTCTTGATACTGTTGCTTAGATTTGGCCAAGACAGAGTATACATACACACAAATTCAAATGAAAACCCAGGTTTCCTTCCTCAAGTTAAGGTGAAAAACCCAATGCAACTTCCTGCATTAAAAAAAGTATTTAAATATTCTGAGAAAGAGAGTCTGTTAAAAAGTCTATGTTGGGTAATATTTCTCCATCATTTGTCAGAGCTTAGGGCAGAGGGAGGTATATCTCCTCAAGGGAACAGACAGCAGGTGTTACTTTAGGACAGAGAGGTGAATAGAAGACTCCAAGATGGGACTCCATTGTCTAGTGCAGTGGGGGCCAACATTTTTGGCAGGCATGCCACACATTAGCCCTGTACCTTCCTGTGTGCCTCCCCAGTCTCCTTCTTCTGCCCAGTCTGCTGTTCTGCTTTTTGCTCTCTGCACTTTGCTCCATGCCCAATTTGCTGCTTTGCTTTCTGCCCTATCTACTGCTATGCTACTTATCACCCTCTCCCTAAAACAGAAATCTGTTGGTGCCTGTGCCACTTGTGACACATATCATGCATGTTAGCCACCCCTGGTCTAGTGGGTATTTATATTATTACTGTTTAGTAGCAGAAAAGATGACAACTGCAAAAATAAAGTAAATTGGTCACTAACTCTTGGTGATCCTTCCTCTTCAAATTCCCCTCATTTTGCCTCCCAGAAAGGAAGGGTGGCTTACTTAAAGCCCTCCTTCTGTTGATATTATGAGAATTTTGCCTGCTAGAGAAATGCTGAACTATTTTATTACTAATCTGAACTACAGATTATTTTGTGGGATTCACCCTGCATTAAGACCCACCCATGGTGACGGCACATTCAAACTCCTCTGGAACATCTGCCAGGTGTAATTCTTTTTTCAAACGTTGCTTTCAAAAGTTGCTTAAAATCTAACCCTGTTCTTTTATGTCTCAAAATGACAGTCCTCTGAAAAGCAAGGTTTTTGCCAACAGAGATTTAAAAGCTATCAGTTAGCATAGTCTTCATTTCAAATGTATTTGTAACAGGATTGGATAATATTTTAAACTGATTTTTGGTACAGGAGGTTGACATGTTACACCAACCCAGTGTAACTAATGTTTCCAGCTGTATTCTTCCCATACAGATCCTCTTTTTGGTTTGCCATGCCTAGCAAGATAATACCAAGTACTCAAATACAGTTTTCACATAAATGAGTAAAAATAATCTGCTCGACCTACTGTATGCTCCCAACTAACTGTTTGCTAAACTCACATCCAACTGAGTTGTTTATCTTAAACCAGGAAACTAACCCTTAGCACAATGTGGTATTTAGACAGAATGCATGACAAATCAATGCAGAGTTCACTGCTGACAATATTTTCCTATGATGTTAAAAGGAAAAGTAGCGGATGTTTTTATCCAAAGGGTAGAATACATTGTTCTAGATTCCAGTGACAATGATAAGTTTTTAACTGAACATGCCAAATTGTAAATCCTCTCCACATTTTCACTAAGTTACATAAAACAGAATAATTTGTCTTGGCTCTGATTCTGTAATTATATTATATATAATTCTATAATAATTTGTCCTGGCTCTGATTCTGTAATTATATTCTATATATATAGAACAGGATTATATAGGGCAGGATTTGTTACATGCGCGCGCGCACACATGTGGCACAGAATTATGTTATTTTATATTACATTCACCCGCACCCATACCCACACCCACACAAAGAGGGCCTTTTATTCAGGTGGATAATCACATTTCCTTCAGGAAAGAATAAGATTTTTACTTCAATCACGTACTGATTAATTAAAAATATTTAATGGACCATACAAAATATTCAAAGGCAGGACTGCCATTTATTGGTTAACATTAGTATATGCAGCTACAGTTATAACATTGAATGGTTAAATCTACATGTAAGACTGCAGAGCTGCAGACTTAACTGCAGTCATATCTTGACTATGTGTAATTTTGTTATAAGCTGAGATACTATCACAATGAGAAAAGTTCAGATAAACACTATATATCAAAACAGATTTTCATCTTTTCTTACATGGATCAACCAAATAACATCTTCAGAATCAAGTTCCATATCTCTGAAAGAAACAGACTAATGCAGCTACAAGAAATCTTTCCTTTTTGGTTAAACATTGTGTAGCGTATAACAATTTTACTCTGAAAATGCAATATACTTTTTTGCTATTGCAATTTCTTGCTACAAGAAAATGTATAGTACATTTATCTTTTAATAAGTCTTTTATACTCATGGTCTTTGGAAGAACATGACAAAGTATATTGTGGACAGTTTTGGAATAAATAACACAGAATTGTAAAACAATACTAATATGTTTCCAAAATAAACTGAAGACACACTGAAAGTACCATAACTTAATAAACTAGAGTTCTCATTCCTTATGCAAATAAAACATTTGATGCAATAAAGAAACAATAAGTACATCCATTGAAAGACTAAGCAGTTTCATCAGTTAATCAAAACCACTGTTTCATAGCAGTAATCAGATACCAGTTTATAAACTTTTGAAAATATGCAAAGCAACAGGTCTCAGCCTCAGTTCTGTGCAGCACAGTATAATAGAATATATTTTTAAGATTGCTTACTTGGACTGGAGGAGAACTGGTGTGTTGTGCCTCTGCTGGTTGTCCCTCTTCTTCAGGTAGGGTTGGCATGGTGCGTGGTGTGAGACACGTTGGACTGCAATGTGGACTAAAAAGACCATGTACTGCTGGGAATGTCTGTTTCAAGTTAACCTCAAGGGATAAGCACTGAGAGGCCTTGTGATCCACAGACTAGGGTAGATGCCAAAAATACAAATCAAATCCATTTAAAAATCTATGTTCTAACACTGGGATCACTTTATAATAACAAACAGCAATAAGGTTTAAAATTAAAAATGATGTGCCTTCTTGTGTTATATTAACTAGATCTTTCAAGGTCAAGTATAACATAGTCTAAGGCAGTTAAAAGAACAATCATCCTTATGTTGCTTGATTTTTTGTGGTCTGTTTCATTGAGGTAATTTAGACTTTTTGCAACTGATTTAGTTGTGATTGTAAACTATGTTTTCAAAAAAACTTCTTAACAGACTACAGTGGATACTCAGAATATACCCTTCAATATGCAATTCAGATCTACTTTTTCAGAGTGTCATCTCAGTTCTTGTAAATTAAGCAAAATAAGAAATGAAAATCTCCATGAAGCATCATTGGCAGAATAGAAGGCAGTGCTCTTCCTTTGAGCAAGTACTATAAAGGTCTACTCTATGTGAACCTTGCACATGAGATACACACAAGACTTCAGGGAGTTCCATTCTTGATGTTAGAAGTGAACCCAACTCTTGCAAGGTTCTTTTAGGGCAGGGGCGTAACACTAATTTGGCCCAGATAACTGTGGTGGGACCAATCCATGGGCCAGATGAACAATGTGGGGCTCGCCCTGTGGGCTGGATCCACTGCCCCCCGGCATGCTGGATCCAGTGCCCGCAGTACCCGCTCTGGCCAGACTGGGGATGAGCCACCTGCAGTGCCTGCTTCAGCTGATCCAGGGTGAATGCTGCATGAAGTGCAGGTTCCAGACAGGCTGGAATGGGCACCATGTGCAGGGCAATCCTGGACCAGCCACAGTAGGCATTGGATCTGATGGGGGCCAGGCAGGGGCCTGGACTGGACTTGTGTGGGGCCAGCAGCTGGGGGCAGAGGACATGGCTCCACAGACCAGGTTCTGTTAGGGTATATATCCTGTCAGGGTATATCCATACTGGCTCCCATACTCCTTTTGAGGATGCTGCTGAAAACTAAGCCCTGCCCATTAACTTTTATATCACATTTTCCTGAGGTGATGAGGACACCCCAGGGGCACCCACACAGTTACTCTTGAGATCTCTATCTTGGTTGGGAGCATGAAGAGTGATTGAGTTAGTGAGGCTGAGCTTTCAGCAGGAGGCCTGAGAGCAATATGGAGCCAGTAGACAGACCCTTAGTTGTCCGGGTTTACCAAACTGGAACTTCCCAACAGCAAACATCAACCAGTCTTCTGACCCCCTAGCAAACATCAGCACCCTGATTTCTTGTTTTAAATAGGTCAATGGAAGGCTGAGGCTTGTTTGTGAGAAGGAAAGAGGTTACTTACTGGGGGAGAGGTTCACTGACTTCTAAACCACCCAGATGCACAAAAGTTCATGTTCAACATTCATGACAACAGAATAAGGCTGATGAATTACACTGAACCTTGAACTCACTGCTAAATATAAGTAGGTTTGATGTTTAATGAAAATATTTGACAGTGCTCTATGTAAAGAATCAATAATTAGAACTACTATTGAAAGGACTTTGTTCTGTCTGAGGTGCCACCTTTCACATAAAGGTATAAAATATAACGCTTGACCAGATACAGTCCACAGTAATCCAGCAATGGTTTTTGTATTGAACTCCATTGTCTTGACAAAATTTCAAATCTAGGAATTATAACTGCTTTTCTAAATTCTACATATTGTTCCAATTGAAGGAAGTAGTCTTCATAACCTATCAAATATCAGGACACGTTGTAAACATACAGTTAAGCACTAGGGCAGTGCGAAATTTCAACGGCCATTTCGTTCTGATACTGTTTTGACCAATTTCAAGGTCAAAATACCAAAATCGGAACAAAACAAAGCCTGTCAAAATAGCCTCGAAACAAAACGAGGCAGGCTGAAACGTTTTGAAAGTTGAAATGTTTCGACCATAGGCTGCGGATGAGAAGTTACTTCAGCTGGGCCGACTTCCCACCCCCAGTGCAAGATCCGGCATCCCCATCTGCTTGATCGTGCTGGGGGTAGGAGGCAGCCCAGCTGGGCTGCTTCCTGGGGCTCTGTGCTTGATTGCAGTGGGGGCAGGAGGCAGCCCAGCTCAGCTGGACTGCCTCCTACCCTGGTGTGATATAGTGCTGGGGTTGGGAAGTCAGCCCAGCTGGTCTTACTCTCCATCCCCAGTGAAACTTGAAACTGCATCAAAACAGCCTTTCTGTTTCAATGGAATGGAACAGAACAGCTGTTTTGACTGAAACTGAAATTCAAGATGAAACACTGTTCCCTCAAACCATCAAAACTCAAGGCAAAATGGAACAGTGCTGTTTTGCACAGCCCTATTAAGCACCTTCCACTTTTAACCCAGGAGTAATTATATTTCCAAGGCAGAAACTCTAATTCCTGTGTATATCATCTGTACAGCACTTTAGATCCATTTGGATGATACAGGCTATACAATAATTCAAGATGATTTTTTTCCAAGACATGACTGGAACGGCTTGGTAACATAATATAATAATTATACATGTACTTTTCAAGTGAATTTTTTCTTGCTTATAAGAACATCAAAAAAGTGTGTCATATTTTTAGCAAGTTTGTAGTGTTTCAAGATTTTATAGTAAATCAGTAACTTCCTGTACTATTAAATCTCTTCCTGTGAAAAAGGACAGCCTGGGACATCTTTTTTCCCTTTGAGAATGATGTAAAATAAAGCTCTCAGTTATACCTAGTCAAGATGACAGGACACGTATAGCCCCATTTGCTATAACTAAAGGTGTACTTATGGTAGAGATCAAAAGCCCAGTCCAATCATGTAAGCATAAAACTGGGAGTCACTAACTTGAGAATACTAATTCAGTCACCGACATCAATTCTATAGACTAAATCAAATCCCTTAACCTAAATTTTTCAAAATCTTCACTACTTCTGGTTACCTAAATCAGAGGTTAAAAAAAATTAGGTTAAATCAGAATTTTTTTTGAGAGGTACTGAGCCTCATAACTTAAATTGAAATAAAAAAGTACTCTTGACATTCATCATTTCTTAAAACCAGACCTTCTGTGATTGTACATGGCAAAAAGGAGGTCTCTGCAGAGATACCAGCACTACCTTGTTCAGATCTAGTTCAAGTACTGGCAGCAGTATAGCTGCATTAGTACTGCTCTGTGCCCACTCTTATATTCCCTGTTTCTCAGCAAAATTAATTTTTTTGGCTAGGGATAGACATTCCAAAAGCCTGAGCCTGAATTGATTCAATCTTTGCAGGTTTGTTGAACCTGGCTAGGCTAAACCAGTTTGTAACCACAAAGACATCTCAAGCCACGTGTAGACAAAATGAGAGATGTGTGTACATGACACTATAAAGTGGGCTAAGTGCTTTTTCACCACTTTAATGGTGTCAGTGTGTGTATGCCTCAAAGGTGTATTGAGCATTAATTCCAGCTGGTGTAGGAAATTCAGCTGCGTAATGTGCCTTAAATGATGTGGGGCGCAGCAAACTAAAACTCCTTCAAGGAGTTTTAGTTTTCTTCCCCTACAGCTGCGGAGCAAAGCACCGGGCTCTGTGCAGCTCTGCAGGAAGCCCTGCAGGCAGCCTGGCAGCAGCCTGGTAAAGCAGCCTCTGCCCAAGAAAAGTGGAGAGTCTGATCTTTCCTCCCCCCTGCCTGGAGCCTGCCTGAACTGCCCAGGGGCCCGGTGCTTCCCTTTGCAGCTGCGGTGCCCACTGGGATTGCCCAAGTCAGTTGCCTGGGGGTGGGTGCCACCTGGGGGGGGGGGACTGCTGCTGCTGTGGAGGGAAGCATCATCTCCCCTCCCCCTCTGCAACCCAGGAACCGCTCCACCCACCAGAAGCTTGCCCTCCCCTCCCCACTGGAGAGGCAGGTAAGTTAGATGAACACCTTGCTGGGTTAGATGAACACCTTGCTGCATTAGATGAACACCTTGCTGGGGTCGTTTGACCCCAGTACTCTTTCCTGCCATGGCAGGGGGTCGGACTAGATGATCTTCTCAGGTCCCTTCTGACCCTAGAAACTATGAAACTATGAAGTCAGTGGGGTGTGTGCATGACACAGGAGTTTAATCAGCCCTAAACTGAAGCAGTGTTTTTTAAAACCTACTACTTCAATTTAGGGCTCCCGTTTCATCTACACACACCCTTAGAAATGCAGGCACATGCCTGCAGTGACTCAGGGTAGAAGCCGGAGGGGGGGTTAGAACATCCCTCCCTTCTCTTCCGAAGTGATGAGCTGGAGGGTGTGGGGGTGTCACCAGGCCTCAGCAGGACGCTCTCACTCCCTTTGATAACAGAGCATTTATCAGCTCTGTTATCAGCATTTAGAACCCCATCAGAAAACAAAGCTTCTCTCATTAGTTCAAGCTCATCTTAAACATCTTTTTCCAAAGGAAGGAACAGAGGGACATTACGAGCTGACCTGTTGATTAGCTCTGAAAACCATAAGCTTACACAGTTCTGTCTCCCCCAGCACAGACTGTAGCCAGCACATGGTCTGCTAGCTAATGTGGAGAGGTGTTTGTGTATGGCAGACGGTAGGGGGAAATCCCTGCTTAGCAGGGAGTAAGGGGAGGCGGGGAGTAGGAGGAAGCCAGGCAGATGCCTGTGTTCTCTGCCAAAGCTGCAATCAGGGAGCAGAGGGGAGGGGCCAGTTCTGCTGTGGAGCAGAGAGCCCTGCCCAGCCCAGAGAGCATGCCAGTATGCTGGGGGAGTCTGGTTTAAATTAATTAGAAGGAAGAAGCAGGCTACAATCGGACCTGGACAGGTTACCAGGGTGGGTGGATAAGAAGAGGATGGGTTTCAACACGGACAAGTGCAAGGTGATGCACCTGGGGAGGAACAACCGGCACCATACCTACAGGTTAGGGAACTCCCCTCTTGTCAGCACGGAGGCGGAAAAGGATCTTGGAGTCATCATTGACTCCAAAATGAACATGGGTCGGCAGTGTGGGGAGGCAGTTAGGAAGGCCAACCGTACCTTGTCATGCATCCAC